ATTGCGCTACAGCGCCCCTCCCTTAGAATTTTTTGCCGCGAAACCGGTACAAGGTTGTTCGTCGCGGACCACTCTAACCTCCTGACGCCATATTTTCAACTTCGATACCTGATCGCGGACCGTGCCTTTAAAGGATGTAATGCCTCGCTCGTACTGGAAATAAATATCTTAACTTACTCTATCATAGAAAAACGGAACGCAATCGAATCCGGGAGCTGGGCTGCGACCGGGCTGTAACTGAGTCACTGCTCCAGACGTATTCCTAATGGGTGAGGTGAGCAGCGCTAGAAACAGATCTGTGCCGTCTCGCAGAACTAGAACCACTCTCTTTAGCTAATTCGAAAAACCCTATAATGTCGACGCACTTTCCAAATGTTCTGGAAACGTAACGAAATCTTCGAAATTGGTGGGCGATTAGCGTGCTCGTCTTTGTTCCATCACACCGAGTCAGCTGAAGATCTTAAACGCATGTTGTACTCTAGAAACGGGTTCAGCCACGCTTCTACGCTCCTCAATAGCGGCTGTTGGCGATACATAGCCGGCCATCAGGCTAATGTGTTGCGCACTCTTCAGATCCTCACAGGCGCCTGTGCGCAACCACGCAAACGAGCAATGGGTATGCCTGAAAGGAGGGTCACCTTTTGTAGCAAGCGAACTGACGTCCGAATTTCCGTTTTCTTATGAGAGCACTTAAATTCCGCTAGAGAGAGCCTGGAAATTAAGGAGCAGCTTGTGGGATCGCGCATGAACTTAACACTATATTCCTTCTACCTTTCAAGCTGGTGTTCCCCATTCTCGCTTGCTCAGAAAGCGGGTATTACTTCGTATTGCAAGAAATCCTCATTCAACCGGTGAAAGTTGTGAAGATAAAGCTCGGCACTGGCGCGTGTGTCAGGGCGATCCCGTGCATACAGAGCGCCCCAACTTTTGTTCAGTCGAGGCTTATTGTCAATTGGCGGTCAGTTATTGCCAGATAATTCGTCGCGGATCGTCGTTTCCATGTAACTTTTGTGGAAGAACCATAGGATTGACTCTTTACCAGTCGGATCGCTCGGCATCGCCGTGCGATCCTCCTTCCTCGTGTGAAGTGGGTATTGCCCACTAATTTTTTCAAATGAGGTATTGCCCCCATTTCACTTATATTCCCTATTTCCTGGGCTGCTCCGGATGGTTTTGAAAACTTCCATCCTCGGCACCCTTCACCACGGTGAATGCCCCGCCCATTGTGGGCGGAGCTTAGGTCACCCTGAGTGTACCTTACCGTGTATCTTGCGCAAATGCCACATCTATTCCAAGCACAGTCAGTTCCCTAACCGGTTCTCTAAAAGTGAACTTTTCACGAGCCGCCAATTTCAAGCGGTCACACAGATGCACAGACACAAAACAACTCTTGGTTTATATATAGAGATAGGGAAGTTCCTGTTCTCGGGTCGCGACGCGGAGGGCCTGCCATTCCAACGAGAATCCTGCCATTTCCAACTATCTGGGGCCCTCAGACAAGATGTTAGGATTGAGGTCTGCGCGTGTGACGGCTTCAGGACATTAGAGTGCGGGCAGGCCCTCCGCGTCGCGGACATGGTGCATCAGCCCGGTGGGGTATAGTATGACACGTCTGGGCCTCAGTGATCAACCTTCAGTTGCAAATTAGTGAGGAGCACATCAAGGGCTTGCGTGGGACGGTTCGGTTAGTTCCGGGCTTCTCGCAGATGGCTACGAAGGAAGTTCGACTGGGACTCTACCTTTACCCAGCAGGGCTTAATTAATTAAATTATTTATTTACACCATGAGGTGTGCCTCAAAATGTTTTATATTGAAACAGCTATATTGCAACTCAATATTTGCACTAAAATCAGACAAAGGTTAGGAGCATACGCTATTTGTACTAATTCCTGTGAAGAAAAATGTTATAAGTGAAGTCTATAATTGAACACTTATGTAGTCCTCCCACTGACAGTTGGTATGAGGAACCCACCTAGACTATCGACTTGCTAGACAAACCTTCACAGCTAGAAGGCAGGATTGTCGTAGTACTGGTGCCCGCTCACGGTTTGACCCGTTCAGGACTCCAGGCGCGGGACCTCATGCACAGGGTTTCATCCGCTTTAAAAACATAACATTAATTTTAGACTCATTTGAGGATCATCACACTATTGTAGAACAAGTTATCAGTGTGATCCGTTCAAGAAAAAATCCTGAGGATTCAGTTCAGACTAGCCGGGATCCTTCTTACACATATGTATGTTAAAATATGAATATCAATGAAACGTATACAGCCCTTCAGAGTCCTCGGAGAAAATAGCAGGAAGTCCATTAGGAAACATACTGCAACAAAAACTAAAATGAAAATGACCCGATCATCCAACCCGAGAAACTGAAAGGACAATATTTATCATTTTCTTTCTGAAACTACGGCTGTCACTGGACAACATTGGACGCATTTCAGTAGGGAAACGTTGTAACGACCTCGCACCACGGTAGAGCTCAAAATTATATAATTGAGTCTGATTTTTCTTTTGAATCCGAGGATAATGTCAATTGAATCCGCCCATTCTTTCGTGACTTGGCCTAAACACCCACTACTTACTTGCGGATAGTTTCTCCTTGCGTAGAATTCGGAAGAAACACTAGATCAGCAATGACCCGTCTGTATTTTAGCGTTTTTGAGCCTAATTGTCTCATATGTTCGTTGTGACTTGGTATTGAGTTGTGGCATTGGAAGGCATGAGGCATGATGGAACAGCAGCTTTGTGAACATCTTCTGTACCTTTTCTAATTTGATGATTTGCTTTTTACGTGTAGGATCCCAAATCTGGGAGCAATACTCAAGATGCGGCAGTACATACGTTTTGTAAAGGCGTAATAGAATGGTTACATCAGTGCTATAGGCATTACGAAAAACTAAGAAGGGTAGCATAAGCCTTGTTCCCTATACGTTCGATGTGTTTAGATAATTTCAGATTCGAGTCAACCTGAACTCCGGGATCGTTGGAGGGTTCGCAGCTGTTCAAATTCACATCACTGATTGGGTATTGTGTAAAATGTGTTTTATCCTTATGCAGGACAAAAACTTTTTGGGGTTTACATCGATGT